GGGGCCCCTGAAGGCGCGTTTGGGTGGGGACTTGCGTCGGTGTTGTTCTTCACAGTGTTCATCTCCGCGTTCACCAGCCAAGTGTTTGTTTACGCGCAGCAAAGGTTCGGGGCGAGGGAGTTCGGGCGAGCTGTGGGGCTGCTGCAGCTGCTGGGGGGTTTTGCTGCGCTGCTGTGCAACCCGCTGTACTCTGCTGTTGCGGTGTCTCACCAGCTTTCGCTCGCGAGGGTTTCGGAGGTTTTCATTTTGCTGCTCGCGCTGCAGTTCCTCTGGATCGCAGCCCTCGGGCGCATCCAGGCCGCCCACAAGCCCCCGCCCCAAACCCTAAACCCTAAACCCTAAACCCTCGGCTCGCCGGAGGGCCTCCGCGCCGCGGCAGACGCGCGCCAGGGATGCAACAAACCCTCTGCGGGCTTCGGATGCGGAAGCAAACCCTGCGGGGGTTTAAAAGGGGCTGCAAACCCTTGCAACGGTGTAGACGGGGCTGCAAACCTTCACAAGGGTTTGGACGGGGCTGCAAACCCTCACAAGGGTTGGACGGGGCTGCAAACCCTCACAAGGGTTTGGACGAGGCTGCAAACCCTCACAAGGGTTTAGACGAGGCTGCAAACCCTCACAACGGTTTAGACGAGGCTGCAAACCCTCACAACGGTTTAGACGAGGCTGCAAACCCTCACAAGGGTTTGCACGCGGCAATGACTCTCATTAGAGTTTACTGCGGCGCTTAATTAGGGTTTAGACGCAGCAGCAAACCCCAGTAGTGCTAGAAGCGGCAAATTGAGTCTTCACTGAGACTCGGAGGTGGCAGTAAACCCTCAGCCGCTGCAGCTCTTGAGAAGCAGACAATTTACTGCTTCGTATTTGTTTAATGAGAAGCAGACAATTTGCTGCTTCTTATTTGTTTCATAAGAAGCAGATAATTTGCTGTTTGCGCCAGGTAGTCCTGGACACTGAATCCATGCGCGTGTATTTCAAGATAAATAATTTCCCACTTATTCTACACAAATATATTTTATTCTGCTTCTTATTTGTTTTCGAGCTGCGCGAAGTGCTGCTGCTTCTGTCAATTTGTTGCTGCACGGCCTGCCTCGCGGGCAAACTGGTGTCTGAGTTAATAATAAACACTTATTTCTTTTGCAAACACTTTCAAGAAGTGCATTTGGCATTCATTTGGCATTTGCTGCTTCATCGAAGCCCAGCGGCTGCTGCTGCTGGCGAGCAGCAGCTCTTTTCAACTTGAATTTCTGAACGACGGCGAACAACAACAAAATAAAGCTGAATACGGGACTTTCGATGCTGTCTTTTTCTGAGTCTGCTGACTCTTCAAATTCAATTAAATCCTCGGATGTTTGAGATAATGGCACTAATTGCGCGCTTTCAGTTCCTCCTTTAATGCGAAAACAGCCGGAACTTGAATTGCGCGGGAAACGTGAACGGCAGGAAGCTGCATGCAAAATGGCCGCCTTTTTTGCAAGCGAAGAGTGATTAAATATAAATAAAGACGACGGAATGCGTTTAAAAACTAACTAACTCTGGATCACTTCATTTCCTTCCGACACAGGAAGAAGAACTGTCTTGTTCACGCGTCTGAATTGATTCCAGCGGCCTACTTGACTGACTGACTGATCAGATCTAATTGTTTTGTCTGTTCCCTCGAGACTAATCAAATCCAGTTTGTTTGTCTGGCCCTCGAGGTCAATCAAATGCAATTGTTTTGTGTGGTCGATCGAGTGCTACTCGGAAGAGCAGAAGACGAAAGAAGTGGAACTGCACTATGGCGTTTCAGAGTTGGTAGGCGCTCAGCAGCTACTTTAAACATTCAAATAAATGGTGTTTCTTTCCACAGGGGAAGCAACTGGTCACGGCCTCGCCTGCACTGCGCGACGGCCCAGCCGAGTGGACTGCAAGACTCTTGCCCTCTTGACCGCGAAAGAAGAATAACAAGCAAAGCACTCCCTTGCCAGGCGATACGGGCAGCCGCAGCAACACCAGTGGACCACTGGTGGTCTTTTCAAAGCTTTTTCTCCCGCGAAACCGCAGCTTTCCGAAAAGTTGAACAAGCTGGAGCTTCGGAGGAGGCGGCGGCTCAGTTGCTGCTTCTTCGCCTTCACGAGCTTTCGCCCGCACACGAACCCTCGCACGCACCCCCCAACGCACCTAAACCCTAAACCCTAAACCCTAAATCGGCGGCTGGCGGCCCCGGGCGCACGCGCACGGCTGCTGGGGCGCAGGCGCAAACCCCAGACCCCCCTATAGGGTTTAGAGGTCCTGCTGCGGCGCCAGCTGCCGCTGCAGGAATCCTTTTGCAACTATTATTCAAAAACGCAGGTCCCTGCGAGTGCTAAGAAAGTGCCCAGGGCCAGCTTCCCGCTGCTGCCTGGCGGGGCCTCACATGGCCGGCTCAGCAGCAGCAAGCTGCGCTAGCTGCGCAGCAGCGGGGGGCCCCGGCGGGCGAGCCCGCGGGGCCCCGTGGGGGTCCCGGGGGCCCCCGCGGGGCGTCTAGAGGGGCCCCCGGGTCCCCGGGGCCCCGTGGGGCCCCGTGGGCCCCCGGGGCCCCCCGGGGCGAGCTCGGCGAAACGACGGCGCAGGAGAAGCGGTACACAGATTTCTTTTACCGAGAGGCCAAGGCGGCGCGCAGGAGGGCGCTGCTGCAGTGGAAAGAAGAGCTGCGGGCTGCTGCGGCGGCTGCCGCGCAGGCAGCAGCAGCAACACGAACCCCACAATTTCGACGAAGGCGTTGTTGCTCCCTAAAAAATCAAATAGGCCGCACCCGGAGAAGAGAAACGCGCGAGAAGGCGCCGGACAGACAACAACAAAAGCTGCAGATTCTCGAGTCAAAACAACGGAGCAGCTGCGAGCGGCGAGGGCCCCCGGGGTAGGGCCCCGCTGGCTGCGGGGCCGGGGCCCCGGGCCCGGGGCCGCTGCTGCGGCGGTGCGGGCTGCTGAGGCAGCAGCAGGGCGAGGGAGTCGAGGCCTGCACAGCCTCCGCACCAGCGGCCGAGCGGCCCGGACCAGTGGACCACTGGTCCGGACCAGTGGTCCGCTAGGGCACGGAGTCCCGGGGCGCGGGGGAAAGGCTGGGGTCGGTGAGCTGGAGGCCGGCGGCGCGCTGCTGCTTGGCGCGGAGCTGCGCGGGGCTCTTGTCGCTGCGGCCGAGCCACGCGAGCGCCGCAATCCAGCAGAACTGGAGGCAGCAAAGGCCCACCATGACCCCCTGGACCAGGCGGAGGCCGTTGGGAATGGCGGGGTTCAAAGCCACCTTGGAGTAGAGCGGGTTGCATGCGAGGGAACTGAGGCCGCCGACCATCTGAATGAGGCCAATGAGCTTGCCGAAGTGCTCGTAGGTGAAGTGCTGCTCGATGTAGACGAAGACCTGCGAGGTGAAGACGGACATGTAGTTCGCGAAGCACAGCACGGAGAGGTAGCCCAGTGGACCACCGCCCCACGTGAAGAGGTACATCAGCAGACCACTGGTGTTGCATGCGCAGATGACGCGCAGAATGCCCCAGCGGTCCGCGAGGTAGCCCCACAGAATGCAGGGCAGGAAGGAGAGCGGCAGCAGCACCTTCAGAAAGTCCTTCGCCGCCTCCGACAAGAGTCTGTTGTGGGCCTCTTGGTAGAAGGCGCTGGCCCAGCCCACCCCCACGAAGTACAGCGTCAGCACCAAGTACTTGGCGGAGAAGAGCTGCTTGAAGAAGCTGGCCCCGGGGATGGCGCAGCGCGAGTCCCCGGGCGCGGGGTCCGCCACCTGCACCTGCATGCACAGGTCCAGCTCGCAGCCCGGCTCCGCTGCTGCTGCTGCTGCTGCTGCTGCTGCTGCTGCGGGCTCGCAGGGCGCCTGCGTGGGCGCCTCGCGCTGCGCCGCGTCCCGGAAGTCCCGGAAGCCCCGCCGCGGCACGAACAGCAGCGCCAGCAGCAGACACAGGCCGGGGCCCAGGCCCGCGTACGCCCAGAACACCTTCTGGGGGCCCCCCGGGGGGCCCCCCGGGGGGCCCCCCGCGGCCACAGCCTTGTAGATGCTCTCCAGCACCAGGGGCACCGCGAAGGAAGCAGAGGCTGCACTCCCCAGCAGCGTTATGCTGAGGCCCGCGCTGCCGGGGAAGAGGCGCGTGATGCAGAGCGTGGGCAGAAAGCCCATGTCTGCGCCCATGCCGATGAAGACGAAGCCCGCGTACAAGCTGCTGCTGCTGCTGCTGCTGCCGCCGCTGCTGCTGCTGGCCGTGCTGCAGGCCAGCAGCGCCCACCCCGCGAAGTTGAAGACCTGCCCCAGCGCAGCCGTCGCCAGCGGCCCCGCCAAGTCCATCGTGGTCCCCGCTATCGAGCTGAAGGTCGTGTGCACTGCGAGGGTGATGGTGTACAAGTGCTGCACTGCAGCTTCCTGTTCGTTGCAGATGAAGCCTTTTTCCCGCGTCATGTCGTGCAGGAAGTTTCCCAGTTCGTCTTTTTCGCACAAGTGCGAAAAGCTGGAGGCCCGCAGCAGCAGCGAAGATATCGAGGCCCAGCCGAAGTACACGCAGCCCGTCAGCAGTACGTACACCAGGTAGATCGCCAGGATCACGTACCTGTTCAGCCCCCAGGGCGTGGGCTGCTGCGCGCCGGGCAGGTCGCTGCGCGGCAGCAGCGACTTCAGCGACTGCAGCAGTTTGCTGCTGCTGCTGCGCTGCTGCTGCTGCGGAGGGGGCGCGGCGGCCGCAGCCGCGCGCTGCGAAGCGCCGGCGCCCTCTTTCAGCGCCACTTCCTGCATCTTGCTGCTCGCCCGCGACGCGTCTGCCGGGAAACTCCGCAAACGGAAAGCCGCAAGTCTCTTCGAGTTTTTAAAAAGCTTTTTGCAAAAGTCTGCAGAAACGAAACTCCTCAAGTGCGCAGTCCCAGGCCCCGCCCCGAACGCAGTGCGCCGATGCTCTCGCAACGGAAGGAATGCCGTCACCGGCTTGGGTGCGGCGGCCGCTGCTGCTGCTGCTCGCAGCTGCTGCTGCTGCTCGCAGCTGCTGCTGCTGCCTCCACTTCCCTCCCAAGGCCCCCTCTCCTTCTTTTTCCGTGTCTTTTCCAATTTCGCGCGCGAAACGCCCCACAAACGCCCAGATCAGCAGCTAATCGCCCGCTAATGGTGCGCCCCTAGAACACGCGCCGCAGAGCTCCGCTACGCCACCCGCCCCGCACGCCTCTGGCTTCCAGATCCGCTTTTATTCTTTATTTATTCCGCTTTCCAAACTCGCAAACCCCCGGAGAACTTCGCGAGACGCAAACCGCGCGGCTGTATAGACACCCCAATACTCCGCTCGAAACCCCGGTGGAGCGATCACCCATCCGCCGATTTCCCCTCCCCTTAGCCGAATGCAGCTGGTTTTTCCCGCCAAATTCAACTTTTTATTTACTTTAAATCATAAAGACATTCGAAGCTGGCTCGAGAGCTTGCAACTTCGAGTTTCCGCTAGTCCAGAATCGCCGCGCAGCGCATCGCGGCACTCCTCTGCCCACTAAAACTGCACGGGCTGCCTCCCCCAGCTCTCCCCAAAGAGATTTCACTGAATAATAACTTTTAAAAAGTACTATTTGAGTTTATTTTGCAGTTTCTGCCGGTCTTTAGCCGTCGCGTTAGTCGCTTAAACGCCGCCGGCCACCCCGGGCGGCTGAGACACTCAGCACGCTTGCCCACAGGCTCTCTACAATGTTTCACAAGTTCATTTCTTCAAATTAAACTTCTTTTGCTGCTGCAAACTCCTCCAAATTCGGAGAGACGAAACGGGGCCTTCTGGAGAATCAAAAGCTCCCCACAAGAGCGAGTGGAAGGCCATTCAAAATCCTATTTTTGGAACTGTTTTATTCGTGATAAGACATTAAATATGCGAATTTGAATTTATTCGAAAGTCTAAAACTTTTTGTTTCCTTGTTTTTGGTGCTGCATAAAAAGAAGAGAAAGCTGGAGCCCGAAATGGCCCAAAGTGCAGAACTGCGTCGCTGCGAAGTACTTTAGAAAGTGCGAGTCCTGCAGCACTGAAACAAAGGATAAAAAGCTCAAATATATAATATATTCATTCATTATTCATTTATTTATTTTTTTATATATATTTACTCATTTAGTTATTTATTTATGAAACTGGAAATGAGCAAAGGCCGAAGCTTGCTGCAACAAATGCCCTTCTTGGAGCTGGAGTTGCTGCAGCTGCTTCAGTCAGACTTTATTTGCAATTCTAAATTGCAAATAATATTTCCACTTTCTTTGTTTTCAATAAAATTCTTTTCATTGCAATTTCTTTTTTAAATAAACTTGACTGCAGGCATTTAGCTGCCATAAGGGACCAGTCATCTTCGGGACTCGAAGCAAAAATAATTCATTTCTTAAATTGGCAAAAAGTGAAAGATAATTTCAAAACTTGAATTATTTATTTAGACCCAGCAGATCCTGCTCCAGCCCTTCAAGTCATTATGAATAATAAACTGTTTAAATTCATTTTATGCAAAAGACAAAAGCCCTGCATGCATGCACTTCTGTTTGAATAAATTATTCTCAGCTTTTAAAAACTTCAAGTACTTTAAGTGTATGCAAAAGTGCCAAAAGAAGCATTTGGCTAGCGGCAGCGCCGGCCAGGCCGCTGTAGACGCAGTCTAGCTAGCCAGCCAGCTAGCTAGCCAGCTAGCTAGCCAGCTAGCTATCCAGCTAGCTAGCCAGCGACGCAACCTCCTAACTAGCTAGCTAGCTAGCTAGCTAGCTAGCTAACTAGCTAGCTAGCTAGCCGGGATGAAGCTCGCAGCGGGGCCCCCACTTGTTTGCTCAAAAGGCTTCAAAGGGGCCCTCCGCCAGCTGCCTTTTTTGCTGCGGGGAAATTTGCTGCTGCTGCTTTTGGAAAGAAATGGAAGTCTTATTAAGTGAAAAAGCAATTGAAAGATTACATCTTGGCTATTGAAGGACTAGTTTTGGATTTCCAACCTTTGTTTTAAAATCTTTTAATTGTTTTCACGAAATGAACAAAAGGGGTTTTATGAAGTTTCGAAGTCGTTCTAAAAGGCAAAAGCCAAATGGCCTTGAGGGCTCGCAGCTCTTATGTGGAAATGGACTTTGTGGTATTTTTATTTGCTTTTGCAACTCTTTAAATTCAATAAAGAAGAAATACCAACTAGCTAGCAAGCTAGCTAGCTAGCAAGCTACCTAGGCAGCTAGCTATCTGGCAATATAAATAATAAGAAATACATTTTAGTCCTTTTCTATTTCGACTGTGTTTGCTCTTCACTAGCAGATGATATTCTTTGTCGCAAAATAAAAAGCCAGTAAGGCTGTCGGGGTTTTGGAAGAGACAAAAGAAGACACAAACAAAGAAAAGAAAGAGTCTGAGAGACAAACAAAGAAAAGAAAAGAAAGTCTGAGATCGGCAAGTTGATGAGAAAAAGAAAACTGGTGAAGTCCACAAATAAAACGCATGCACTTGTTCAAGTGCACATTTGTTTCAAAGTGCTCGACGCGCTCTTCTCTGGAAATAAAAGTGGATATGAAAGTGGAAATGAAAGTAGGAATGAAAAAGGAAATGAAAGTGGAAATGAAAGTGGAAATGGCGCAAGCTTTGTCTTTGCACAAACGCAGACGCAAGTGTACATACACCTGAGTGCAGCAGCAACGCAAGTGCTGCTTCCGCCGCTCCCCGGGGCCCCTTGAAGGCGCAGCAAGTGCTCGAGACAACAGCAAAAGAAATTTAAAGAAAGAAAATAAATGAATGAACAAAGAAGAGCCCTTGGCTGTGCACTGACAAGTCGCGGCGCCTATGAATGTACACCTCGTGAATGCACTCGCCAGCTGTACGTACACCCCGTGCATGCGCTCGCATGCACAAACTGAAGCCAATACATTAATGCAAATAAATTAATGTACACATCCATTAAAACTGGCAATAACATGCGCATGCACAGGGACAGCTCGCAAACCGCGGGCGTTCAGGTGTACGTACTCCCCAGCTCTCGCTGCAGCACAACTCTAGAGTGCTGCTGGGGGCCCTAAACTCGACAGCAGCAAGAAGGGAGACAGAAGCATTTGCTGCCTTCCTCCGTCGCGGGGTCTCGTCTGAGTTGCTGCGGCCCCGCCACAGCCCATTTGCTGCTGCTGCTGCTGCTGCTGCTGCTGCTGCTGGCAGCGAGCAGCAGCGGCCGCTGTCTCTCTGACGGCGAAGGGGAACTCGAAGGCAGCAGAAGTCCTCCCTCCTGCTGCTGCAGCTGTCGATACAGCTGAAGCCTCCGATGCATGCGCTCCAGTTGCTGCTGCTTTTATTTCTTTTTGTAATTCACTCCACTTCGAAGTTGGAATTGGAGGCCTCCCTGTGGGGCTGCTGAGTCTGCAGGGGCACTCCGCGTCGAGGCTGTCTGCTGCTGCTGCTGCTGCTGCAGTTCGCGCTGCAGCGGCTGCGCCCGCCCCTGCTGCTTCTGCTGCTGCAGCAGAAGCTGCTGCTGCAGCAGCCCGCTCCGTTTGCTGCTCCGGCGCGTAAGTTTTCTGTGTCCTTTCTTCCCAATGAGCAGCAGCAAGAGGAGGAAACGGAGCAAAAAAGGAACGCGAAACTGTTTTCAAATCCGTGTCTGCTGCTGCTGCTGCTTCGCGCTGCTGCTCGCTGTCTTCTGCAGCAGCAAACTCAGCAGCTGCCTTGCCCTGCGTGGGGCTGCCTCGGCCCTCACTGCCGCCCCCGCCGCCGCCGCCGCCGCTGCTGCTGCTGCTGCTGCTGCTGCTGCTGCTGCTGGCTCCCACGCGCAGCTTTTGCTCGACATGCATGCGGATTTGCCGGTACTTTTCTTGAGCTTGCTTCGAAGCTTGTGCTGCTTTTTCTTCAAGAGAAGAGAGGCAGCAGCAGCAGCAATCAGCCCACTGGTGGTCTGCTATGAACTTGCCCAGCCGCTCCACCACGCTCACTCCCAGCACCGACTTTTCTGCTGCCTGCGCAACAGCAGCCTGCAGCAGCAGCAGCAGCAGCAGCAGCAGCGAAGGTGCAGCAGCGACCGCGGCGGGACACACAGCCAAGGCGCAGGCCCACCACACGGCGCTGCGGCTGCTTCGCAGCAGCAAGCAGCTCGTTTGAGCAGCAGCAGCAGCAGCAGAAAACCACCATCACCAGCAGCAGCAGCATAAAACCACCGTCAACAGCAGCAGCAGCAGCACAAAACCACCGCCAACAGCGGCGGCAGCACAAAACCACCGCCAACAGCAGCAGCAGCAGCAGCAGAAAACCACCTCCAGCAGCAGCAGCAGCAGCAGCAGCAGCAGCAGCAGGTCTCACGTTCTCGACGGCCCTGTTGACTGGCAGCCCCAAGCCGGAAACTCTGTAGGTGGCTTTTTGCCTGTAAAGAGTTTGCTGCGGATTTTCGGGGTGCGGCAAATACTCGCAAGTTTCTTCCACGCGGAAGAAGGAAGCAAACGTGAAGTTGCAGGACCTGAGCAGCAGCAGCAGCAGCAGCAGGAAACCAGCAGCAGCAGCAGCAGGAAATCAGCAGCAGCAGCGGCAGGAAATCAGCAGCGGCAGCTGCAGCAGGAAGCCAGAATCAGCAGCAGCAGCAGTGGAAGCTGCAGGAATCACCAGCAGCAGCAGCAGCAGGAAATCAGCAGCAGCAGCAGCAGCAGCAGCAGGGCTGGGGTTGGTTTGTGGAAGTTTGGGAGTTGAGATAAATCTGAATTGAATTAAAATGAAATTAAATTAAATTAAAAAGTTAAATGTTTTAATTTTCACTTCAAAGTCAACTTTTTGTCCTTCAAAGAACAAGTCGCCTGTTCAAACGCGTAGCCCACAGGCGAAGCGCCGAAGAACTTCTGCACCCATCTGCAGCAGCAGCAGCAGCAGCAAATCAGCAGCAGCAGAAAATCAGCAGCAGCAGATGAATATCGGCAGCAGCACAGCATCCGCACCAGCAGCAAATCATCATCATCAGCAGCAGCAGCAGCAGGAGTGCGTTTTCCTCGCTGCCTTCTCCGTTGAGTCGAATCCAAAAGAGCAGCAGCAGGAGCAGCACCAGCAGCAGCAGGAGCAGCAGCACGAGCAGCAGAGCAGCAGCAGCAGCAGCCGCAGCAGCACCAGCAACAGCAGCTGACTTGGGGCACTGGTACTTGAGAGACAGCAGCCTGCGGCAGGAGAACTGCTGCTGCTCCGTGTCCAGCAGCAAATCGAGAGTGTCGACGCGCAGCACATGCGGCTGCAGCTCGTTGGGGTACTTCACCCAAAACGCGGACTGCAGCAAAACAGCAGCACTGCAGCAAAACGAAAGTCCAATTTAAACGGCAAATCAATTATTTAAATAATTATTTTCATTTGCATGCACACAAATGTCCTTTGAACTTGCATGCAGACGAAGTAGCGACGCAGCAGCAGCCAGCAGCAAGTGCAGCCGCCCGCGCACGACGGATACGAACTGCTGCAGTATTCAACTCGGAGTGCCGCTGCTGCTGCTGCTGCTGCCGCTCCTGCTGCCGCTCCTGCTGCTGCCGCTGCTGCTGCCGCCGCTGCTGCTGCTGCTGCAGCTGCTGGCACTTGGTGAGCAGGAAGCAGTGAATTTGCGTACCGTGATTGTGTCCCAGTCGTTGTGGAACACATGTTCTTTCTGAAATAAACGCATTGGGGCCTCGCAAGCTTGAAGAAGCTGTGGCGAAGTTGTGGCTGCAAAGGAAGCATGAGTGAGGCTGCGTGGGAATTTGCAAAAAGAAGTCCGGCAGCAGCGGGGTCTCAGCGCCGCCGATTCAAGCCCTTGACGACATTAATAAAGAAGAAAACACTTTTATTCAACTTCAGAATCAACGGAAATACCGCGAAAGGACGGATAATGCACGAATTCGAGGACAAGTCTCGCCGCCGCCCGCCGGTTAGAGCGCCTACAGCGGCGATCCTTGGAAGTACGGCAAAAACCCCTTCTCTAGACGGCTCAGAGCCATTCCCTCGGAATATTGAAGGTTTCTGTTTGTTTTCTAATCCACTAGAAAGCTGAAAAACGAAAGCAAGAGGGGAAGACGGCCGCAGAGGCTGCTGCAACACATGCGGGGTCTGTCCACACGTAGCGGCCAAAGCGGGAAAGCACGTGAATTTGCAAGCGCAAATTGCAGCGACAGAAAAACTGTTTCTATAACAATAAAAAATGAAATTTACGCAAATTGACGAGCTACTGGCGCCGCAAAGTGCTCAGGAATTCCGTTAGGGCTGCTGCAGTGGGCCGGGCTGGCAGGGGCCCCCATACTTCCTTGTGAGTGACCCACAAGGCGGAAAGCTGTTTTGAATTGCGGTCATTTCCTCTTAAATGTCTTCAATTCAAAATAATTTCTTTATTTAACTTTAGTTTTACTCCTTTAAACTCTCCTTCCCCTACAGACACTGCCCGCGAGGCTGCCCCCGCAACGCCTCGCTTCATAGCTCTTTGTCTGCAGCAAACTCCCTACTCCTTTATTCCATTGAATAAAAATCATAGACCAAGTGTTATGTAAAATAATAAATCCGTAACGGCTCAAAAAGAAGGACTATTGCAGAATCGCATCAAACGAAAAGTGGGAACCAGGCCGGAAATTCAGTTCATGACCCTGGATATGCAACAACTGTGCAAAGAAGAACGGAAAGTTATAGAGGAATTGTTTGAACTTTTTATGTACTGTACTAATGTATGCAAATGTACTAATGCAGATCTGAATGCCGCATTTGAAAAGCTGATGAAGGCAATACAAAAACCTCCACATACAAGATGCCCGTCACAGATGAATGCATCTACCTGTGCAATATATTGAAAGCAACCACCTGTACAATATATTGTACACATTTATATGAGGCATGCAAGTATATGAACACATAGCTGTACAATATATTGCATACATGTGCAATATATTCTACACATTTGTATGAGGCATGCCAGTATATGAATACATCTACCTGTACAATATATTGTATTCATGTACAATATATTGTATACATTTATAAGGTATACAAGTATAAGGATACATCTACCTGTGCACCTGTACAATATATTGTACACATTTATATGCGGCATGCAAGTATATGAATAGATATACCTGTACAATAGACTGTTTTCATATACAATATATTGTATACATTTACAAGGCGTACAAGTGTATGAATACTCTATTGCACACATGTATGAGGCATACAAGTATACAATATACTGTATACATCTACCTGTAGAGTATATTGTATACAATATATTGTACACATTTATATGGGGAAAACATGTATACGAATACATCTACCTGAAGAATATATTGAACACATCTACCTGTACAATATATTGTATGCATGTAGAATATATTGTGTACATCCACCTGTACAATATATTGTATTAATGCACAATATATTATATCCATTTATGAGGCATAAGAGTTCAAAAACCACAAAAACGAATTTAAAAAATAAAACAATAAAATGAACTTAAAAACGTCTAGAAATGAAAACGCACACATAAAAGGCTTAACAAACATCAGACGTGCATAAAGCCGAAGTTCAGATACACTAAACACGAAACATGAACGGGTTTGTATATGGGCGCATGCATGCGCACGAACACATGCAGCCCCTCACAGTAACAATATAAATAAATATAAAAACATCTAAGTATCGAAGAAAGACCTTTTAAATTACAAGATACTTTAATTAGAAGAACTATGTGTTCGAACTTGGGTATTTCCATGATGCACATAAGTCCATTCATTTCTTGAAATATTTGAAGACTTTGCTGCATTTGTTTTTAACTTCCCAACAGCCAGAGGCTAGTGCAGCAACGCCAGCTGAAAGGCTACAACTAGGGCTGCAGCTGGAGCTTCGAAAAAGTTTCAAGTTTGGCCAAAGCTGGATCTGACACTGTTTCATGTTCCGTGGATTTGTTGGTGCAGCAGCATCAAAGGAAAGTCCCCCGCTGTTATCAGCGCCCACAAAGAGCCCCGCAGCCGTCAACTGCCGGCCAGAGGCGAGAGGGGAAAAGAACTGTTGCAGAAGAATTTAAAAACATGAAAACACCAAGAGCTCTTCGACCTGCTGTACAGACACTCCAGGAAGTGGCAACGCGGTCCAGGAACTGCCAACGCGGTCCGCACCATTCGCTTTCCATTAGTTGCTTTCATCTAGCATTAAACTCAATTAAGATATTCATCTTTCGGCTTTCAAGGGTCCCGACCCAGAACGGCGGCGCATTTGCTGCTGCTGCTGCTGCTGCTGCTGCCGCGCAGCAGCGGCGCCCTCAGAGCACACAGCAGCGCGAAAACAGAAAAAGACGGAAAAGCGACGCAAAAGAAACGGAAAAAGGAATCGAACTTCAATGCAATTAATAAAGCATAAATGCCAACTAAATGCATTTTTTTCTTGTTTATTTTCTGGTTTTCCCTTCACCACCGACCCGTCATCGGAAGATTCACATTTGCAAAACAGTCCGACGAGTCTGTTGTCTGCACAAAGACGGGGAGATGGCCGGGGCCGCCGGCTGCAGCAAAAAGCAGCAAAAAGCAGCAAATAAGTTTTTTGAAAGTATTTCTGTTTTAATATAGTGCAGCCGCACATGTAATAATTCAACACAATACAGCCGAGGCAGCCGATTCGCCAGTCCAATGATCAGAAAACGGTGCAAACTGATTCATATTGCGTCAAAAAGTCTAAAATGCTTTTAAATAGTTCTAAATATTTCAATTTGGTTTTGCGAAATCCAAAAAGTGCCCACCGTTGCCCCCGTAAGTCTCAAGCTGAACTGTCTGCGGCATCCGTACAGCGTAGGCCAGCCAGCCGTTGCCTCCGTCTACAGGCGCAAACGGCGCCACTCCTGCGAAATAAACAAAATAAATAAATAAATAAATAAATAAAACAAATAAATAAAATAAATATTAATTTAAAAAAGGAATCCAAAGAAGTCCTGAAGTTCCGAAATCAATCACAAAACCTGCAAGCCGCGCATGCACTTAACAACAGAGCCAATTAATACTTCGGTGCAGAAATGTAGAAGACTCAGAAGAAACTTGACTCCATTTGACTTCATTTTACTCCATTTGACTCCATTTAACTCCATTTTAGTCCATTTTTCTTCGCTTTATTTGATTCTGTCGGACTAAATTCGATTAAACTTGAGTAAACCCCGCAAAACTCGAAAAACTTCAACGAAATTCGATTCAATTTGACTAAATCCCGCGGACTCCGCGTACCCGCGAGCACCACGGCCTCGTAGCCCCTTTCCATCCAGACTTTAAAGCTCCAGCAGGCGTACATTAAATATAATTCAAAAACAAGTGCAAGAGATGCCACAACAAGAATTATCACAACAGCAACATTTGTTTCTTTGACAGCAGCAACTTGTGCTGCCTGCAGCATCTGCTGCTGCACCTTCGCTGCTGCTGCTGCCCGCGCGGCGTCCGCAGCAGCGCCGCTGCCCTCCCGCTCCTTCCGCTGCTGCGCCTCTGCTGCAGCCGCTGCAGCCTCTGCTGCGGCTGCGCTTGATTCTGCTTCCCCAGCTGCAGGCTTTGGTGCTTCTGCTGCTGCTGCTGGCGGCGCTTCTGCTGCTGCTGGCGCTCCTGCTGCTGGCAGTGCTGCTGCTGCTGCCGCTGCTGCTGGTTCTTGCTGCGCAGCAGGCTCCGGGCCGGCCGAGCCCTCGCTTCCTGCTGCTGCTGCGGCCGTTTCTTCTGCTGCTGGGGCGTCTGCTGCAGCAGCAGCAGCAGGTCCGTTTGCTGCATGTTGCAGCTCTTCTTGCGTCTTTTCATTTTCTGTTTTCTGCTCTTCCTTCCCCCTTTCTGTCGAATTTGAATTGGGGGCCCCAGCTGCCGCTGAGGGGGCCCCTGCTGGGGCTCCTGGCTGTGCTGCTTGTCCCTGTGCTGCTCCCGGGGGGCCCCCCGTCTGGCCCGGACTTTGTGCGGCTTCTGGAAGTGGCTTAGTTCCATCAATGGACTCTTTGTTGGCTTCTTGCTGCTGCTCCTGCTGCTCTTTTGCTGCAGCGGGATGGGCCGCAGGCGGGCTCTCAGGTGTACGTACACCCCGCGGCGCGCGGTGCGCAGGCCCGGCGTAGTTGAGGACCGGCAGTGGCAAAGTGGGCAGCAGCGAAACTCCGGAAATGGGGAAAGGGAAAGCAGCAGCAGCAGCAGCAGCAGTTGTTTCTTGCCGCAGCATGCAGACGCGGACGCTGTTTTCCACGTGGGCGTTCAGCTGGGGCTTCAGCGCCAAGCCCAAGACCATCAGCAAACTCAGCAAAAGAAAAACATGCAAACGCCACCCCAGGAGAAAAAGAAAGACTTTTGAGCGTTTCAAGTCGAAGTTCGCGGCAGAACGCCACGAGAAGATCGCTGCAGGAAGGCGGAAAACAAACAAGTCCAAACACACGATTCGGGCCGAAAAATCCAACTCAAAAACATAAAAAAGAGCCAAAAACAATTAAAATTAAAGTTGTGACGGAGGTGTTAATGCGAATGCAGGAAACGCGGTGCAGAGCGGGCCGCGGGTGTGGCTCAGGTGTATGTACACCTGAACAGGTGCACGTACACCCGAGCTGCGGGTACACCTGAGCAGGTGTACGTACACCTGAAGAAGCGGCGGAAAGCGGAGCTGCTGCTTGCGCTTCTGCGGAGTTTTACTTCATTTTGAATTACCTAAAAGGGCCATGAAGGCGCCGACGGCGAGGGTGCAGTTGTGGGTCCAGTTGCTGACGATGGGGAGGCAGAGCTTCTGCATCCAGTTGACTGCGAAGAGAATAAAGACGAAGAAAACTAAAGTTGAAACTGCAACAAAGTGGGCAATGAAGTCCATGCCCCGACTCAGCGTCAGCCGGCCCACGCCGAAGGTGATGGTGGGCCGCAGCAGCCCCAGAAACTTGGGCAGCCCTTCGGGGTACAGCACTGCAGCACTTGCTGCTGCTGCTGCTGCTGCGCCTCTGCTGCTGCCCCCCGCGCTTTGGCTTTCCGGCGCTGCTGCGAAGGCTGTGAGGGCCCCCGGGCGCGGCTTCACGCCGGGGGCCTCCGGGGGCGCGTCCCCGTAGGCGTCGAAGGGGTTGCTGCTGCTGCTGCAGCTGCTGCTGCTGCTGCTGCGCGCCTGCAGCGGCTCCAGCACTGACGCCGGCATTTCCGTCCCACTCGCAGCAAGGTCCGCCTGGGGAGACAGTGCATTTCCGCTGCCTCGCTTCGGGAAGATCGCAGGTTTCATTCTGCAGAGAACACCGGGAGGCTGCGGTGTACGTACAGCTCGGCACAGCACAGCAGCGCGACGCCGACCGCGCGAAAGCGGCTTCCAAACCCCAATTTAGTGGAGATTCAAGAAGAAGTCAACAAAGTGTCTACTGGAATTCCAAAGAAAATCAATTTTGCATGCAGAAAGTGTCTCAACACCCGCCGTTCAACTTGAGTCGGCGGCTCGGCAGCTCCTGCATGCGCTCGCCAATCTCGCTGCTTTGCGCCACTTCACCAACTTTGGGGCTTTCAAAACCTTTCCAAACATTTAATTGCACGTTTATTTCAGTTTTAAAACTCAACTGCGGGAAACCGCGCAGGCAGGGCGCGGCACACTCCCGCAGCAGCAGCAGCAGCAGCAGCTGCTGCTGCTGCCAGTGGCTGCTGCCAGCAATGTCCCGCGCAAGATCTCCCCAATGGAGCCGCCAACTTCGCTTGCATGCGTTTTGCTAATCAGAGACGGGCCAGTTGAGCTTTACCCTTAATTTTTAGGGTACAGCACCCTGGGAGGGCCCCTGCAGCAGCAGCAGCAGCAGCAGCAGCGCAAGTAAGCAGTTGCAGGAGGTGCGTTGTCCCGTGAAGCAGTGCAATAGGCACGGGGAAGGGGAGACACAGAGAAACGGAAGCAAAACTAGAAAGCCCATTTTGCAGCAAAGAGGCTGGCCCTTAGCTTTGCTGCTAAGAAAGATCAACTCAATTAATTGCCTGTCACCTGTTGCTGTTAATGCGAAGGCTGTGGGGGCCCTTTTTCCAGACACAGCAAATGCAGGCAGAGGGGTCCCTTAGAGGGGCCCCTCTATTAGAGGGGCCCCTCTATTAGAGGGGCCCCTTAGAGGGGCCCCTTAGAGGGGCCCCCTAAAGGGGCCCCTTAGTGGGGCCCCTTGGCCTTTAATTGCACAGATAAAGCTGCAGTTGTTTGGCATTTAGTCTTCAGTAATGAGCAACTGTTTGCATTCTCTTGCAAAAAGCAAAAAAGAAGGAAAGTTTATATTGTGGAGTGCCTCAGGGGCTGCACCCCATGTGTACATACACTGCACACTGTACGTACACCCCAGCAGCGCCTCAACTGCAGCAAGGCCGATTCAGTGAAATCCAGAAACTCTCAAGTGCTGCTGCTTTCTGCAAATTGGAGGTCTGCATGCATCTTTGCAAAAAGAAGACAAGAAACCATTCAAAAGAAGTGCTTTAAAGGCACAATTTGAAAGTTAATTTCAATTAGAAAAAAGCCGAAATTTCGCTAAGTCCGCAGAGTGCAGCAGCAGGAAGTGCAGCCGCCAGCTGCAGCAGTTTGAAAACAGAAAGTTTGTTTTTTCTTGCAACATTAATTGAATTGGAAATCAGTCTTTTTTGAACTTGTCCAAAGTGCCATTTAATTAATCAGGAAGTGGCTAGCTGCTCAGTAACACAATTAAATGCCATTAATCAATCAGTTAAAAGCCTTTTGTCTATTCCTTTTATTGGCAAAAGTGCAAAAGTGCAAAAAAGGGGTTTCAGCGCATGCAGCACTTCGCCAGATTTCAACTAAAAACAGGAATTGGAACTTATCAGTGCACTTGAAGCTCGTGTGCAAACTTGAAGATTTGAACTTGAATGTTTAAAGTTGTTCTCTTTTTGAATTCTGAATTTTCGAATTCAAATAATGCCACAATGCCTCTCAACACTTCTCCCTCCACCGTTCTTTCTCTTTTATTCTTTAAGTGCCCTCTCTGTGCCTTCTTATTCCAGTCTAATTAGCTGAACACTTTTCAAGTAAAGTGCTTGCTGGGGAATGCCCCTCAGGGCTTTTTGCTGCACTTCCCCGTTGGCAATTGCAGCTTTGCTGCAGCGCTGTCTATCAGAGCTGGGGTAGAGAATAAGAAAAAGCGAACAGAGAAAAAAGCAAAATAAAAGCTCCTTTTAAAGCTTTGTAAATAACTGAAGTTGTAAGACACAGGAGGTGTGACGGGCTGCAGTGCAGGTCCCACTTTGTGTGACGATTGCACTGCTGCACACTGCGAAAGGTGAAGTACATGCGGGTCCACCAAAGCCTCCAATCGAATATTCTAAACCAAAATATTAAATATAAATCGCTTAGAACATTTAATTTGAGAAACGGGGCAGAGATCAGGTAACTTCTGCGCTGCTTCCTCGCTCGATCCTCAGTGGTTTCTGGTTGACCGGCCACACGAAGACGGCGGGAGGCACAAATTGGCGAAGTCCGTAGTGGATCTTTTGCTTATAATTGTTCATATTCTCGAATATATAAAGTGAAATTCTCCGAAATTAAAAAGAAGAAAAGCCAAGAAGGGCTCCTGTGTGCCGCAGCAGCAGCAGGCGCATGTCAAGGCGTCGCTCCGCCAGCCCGAAGGTGTCCATACACCTCGTGATGCAGCTGGGATCACTGCTGTTCCCGTTTCCCTTTTATTTTAATTCAAGGGGAATAGAAAAGGATTTAAATGACCCCTGAAAGCGCATTTACATATTCTGCATTTAATTGCGACACCGCGGAAGCCAGCTAGCTCGAGTGCGCCGCACTCCCGGGCTTTGCCGGATTCTTCTCTTTTGTTTTTGAATTTCAAGAACACTTTCTTATTTAAATTGAGTTATTTGTTCTTTGAAGCTTCAAAACGCAGCAGAAGCTGATCTTATCAACTCAAACACCAACTGCCGCAGCAGCTGCGCGGGAGCCTCGCAGCTCTGCCTCTGCGGGCTTCCGATTCCTGCAAATTCAAAGGTCCTCCATTTGCTACTAAGTTCCATATCCGCAGCAGCACTACTGCAGCAGCAGCAGCAACAGCAGCAAGAACAACGTGGACTGGAGCAGACACTGGAGGGGACCGCTTCAGCTGAGGCTGTGTTGCTGCTGCCCGGTGCCCGGCATCCGCTCCTGCTGCTGCTGCTGCTGCTGCTCCCCGGTGTACGTACACCCCGACGCGCGCCCAGGGCTCATGGCCCGCCGCTGCAGCAGCCCGTGATGGTCGCAGAAAGCCTCGAGCAGCTGCCGACCGGCGCCCCCTGCGCTTCCCGCTGACAGTTTTTTTCGCATTTCCACTTTTCAAAATTCATTTGCTGCAGCACCAAACCAGCAGCAAAATGAAGTGGCGCTACTGGGGCCCTGGGCTGGCGCTGCTGTGCGCACTGTCGGAGGGCCTGGCAGCGGGGGCATCCCACGAGCAGCAGCAGCAGCAGCAGCAGCACGAACAGCAGCAGCAGCAGGGCGCGCAGGCAGCAGGAGTGGCAGCAACGCCTGCTGCTGCTGCTGTGCTGACGGCCGTCAGCAGCAGTTCGGAGACGCTGCAGATCGCAGGAAATGGAGAAGTCCTTTCCTCCGTCACGAAGCAGCAGCACGTGCGGCCCTACAGCGGCGCTGTGCCGCTTTGCAGAAACTGCTTCGGGAAAGACCAGCAAACTTGCAAAGTTTGTCTCCACGGGGAACACGAGTCGAGCGTGAGTCCACCAGAGCAGCAAAATCTGAAGAAAAAACGTATTAATGTGCCTATTTGCTTTAATGGCAGTAGTAACAGCAGCAGTAACAGTGGCAGTGGTGAAAATAGTAGTAACTGCGCGAAAGACCTGCACACCGAAGAGCGTGTCTACCAGAAATTAAGAAATATTCAGAAATATTCAGTAATATTCGGGAATTGGGAGAATTAATTAAGTGAGCGGCTGCTGGCCGACAGGGGCTGAGGCGTGCGCGCTTCGGGTGTACGTCCACCTGCTTGTGCTGCCTGTGCAGTTCCTGATGCCCATGACGCGGGCGCGGGCAAGCGCGGAAGATGAGACTTTTGCAGCTTTGGAAACGAACCACAACGCAGTGAAAAACTTAAATAGAACGTTTTACATGAAGAGGGGAGAAGGTCCTTTTGGTTCTTTAGGAAACAAACCTACTGACACGAAAGCCGGCGGCGCGGGCGCCACGAGCTTTTTGCAAAACAAAGAAGCAGCAGATACACTCGATCTTGAACTGGGACTTGCTCAGACTTCTGTGCCCATCATGCAAATGAAAGACGTAGGCGCTCAACTGGGTTTCCAGATTCGGGGTTAGGTTTTTGTGGGGTTTTCCTTGGCACTAGACCAGATACAAGAGCCGCTGCTTCTCTTTGGCTTATCTCAGCGCTGCTTCTCTTTGCAGTTTCTCGCAGTAGATCCTTTTCTTCGTTTTCTTTGTTTTTGCTGCCTGAGAGACGATTAGAAGGCGTCGGGAGCAGCTAATGCCGTTTAGGTTATTCCAGTGATTGAATTGAACAGAGTGCGCACCCTCGTCTAGTTTGTTGTTTGTTTTGCACTGAGTCAAATGCATTTAGTTCCTTTCTTTTGCGTAATGCTGCAGAGCCAGTACTGCGGAATGCTGGGCATTGGGACTCCGCCGCAGTGGGTCCACCCGATCTTCGACACGGGTAGCACGTGAGTTGCAGCAGATCTCAAGGACGTAGAGCCAATAATAACCGGACTTTGTTGAAAATAGTGGCAATATTTGTCGATTATTTGCAATTACTTTGGTATTTCGCTTGAGAATATATCTCAAATGCATTTAATTTGCACGCCGTGCGTTCACGTTTTCAGGAACTTGTGGGTCGTTGGCTCCAAGTGCGAAGACGACACTTGCACGAAAGTGACGCGTTTTGACCCTTCGAAGTCTTCGAGCTTTCAATACACTTCGCCGCCAGTGCATTTGGACATCACTTTCGGCACGGGACGCATAGAGGGCTCCACCGGAGTTGACAACTTTCAAGTGGGGCCTTTCACAGTCAAGGGGCAAACCTTCGGGCTCGTTGAAAAGGAAGGAGGACACAATGAACACGGAAACATCTTCAAGGTGAGGCCAGCGCCGGGGCAGAAGTGGTGAGAGTCCGGGGTTCAAGTTCAAGAACATCAGACAATGACTCTCAACTTTTCTTCTTTGATGAGAGTCTATGAAATTCACGAGTTTCTAACGCAGGCTGTTACCACTTCTCCTTGATGAGAGTCTATGAAATTCAAGAACTTCTAACGCAGGCTGTTACACTTCTCTTTTTTGATGAGAGTCTGTGTTTGAAGTTAAGAACTTCGGGCTGTCTGCTTTTGGTTTCGAGAGGGTTTGAGCAGCTTTCGCTGCCCAGCAGCAATTCGAGTGGGGCTGTGCATGCATCTTTTTCAAATGCTATGCACTAGTGTTTGTGTGTGCTTTCAGTCTATCAATTTTGAAGGCATTGTTGGCATGGGGTTCCCAGACATGTCCAGCACCGGCGCCACGCCCATCTACGACAACATCATGAAACAGGCCGATCTGAAGCGAAGCGAGTTCGCCTTTTACGTAGCAAAGGACTCACCAGTAAGCCGCATTAGGTCATATTTTCACTGAGAGCAATTCCCTGTCCTTGGCGCATTATATCGTTGGAGCAGTACACATGCAGACAGTACATGTTGTTCATTCAAGATTGATGGTTCATGGTGTTTGTTCAAGTTTGACGGGAGTACTAGGTGCAAGTTGAGTCCCGCAGTCGTTTTGTTTGTATCCATTCAAACTGGACTGGATGTGCAACGTTGTCCTCAGGTGTCTGCTTTATTTTTTGGGGGTGTGGATCCTCGCTTCTACGAATCCCCTATTCACATGTTTCCCGTGGAGCGCGAGCACTACTGGGAAGTGGCATTAGATGCAATTCATGTTGGAGACAAAAAGTTCTGCTGCGAAGAGGGCACAAAAAATTACGTCATTCTGGACTCGGGAACCAGCTTCAACACCATGCCGGGAAACGAAATGCGCAGCTTTCTAGAAATGATACCCTCACAGGTACTGCACGGTGCTTGGACTTCTAGCTAGCTTGAGTAGCTAGCTAGGTAAACAAGTGGCTGGAAACTCGGGTAGACAGCTAGCTTGTGCAATAGAAGGGTAGCTTATTGATGCAGCTTCCTAGTTTGTGCTGCTGACTTCTTGGAGGGCTTTTGCGTAGGCCTGAGTTGTAGTCTGCAGAAGTTGTATATATATATTATATATACATATTTTTAATATATAACACATCTTGGGTTTGCGTTTATTGTTGGTTTTTGCAGGAATGCGGAGACGACGACTCTTTCCTGAGCAGTTACCCCGACATAACTTACGTCATAGTGCGCAGACCGCCTCACTTGCACATCTCAAGCTGACTAGCTGTTGTTGCAGTTAGGCTTTTACTGCGCTATTACAGAAGATTTGACTCTCGTTGACAGTTTTTAGCCAGAGTCCGTTTGTTTCTCTTTGCTTCCTCCAGGGTGGCGTGAGTTTCGTGCTGAAACCTGAAGACTACCTGGTGCGCAGCAAAACAAATATGTGCAAGCCGGCATACATGCAAATCGACGTTCCCTCGGACTACGGCCACGCCTACATTTTGGGCTCTCTGGGATTCATGCGCCACTTCTTCACTGTCTTCAGACGCTCAGACGGAACAACCCCCTCCCTTGTATGTCTAGAGCTGAACTATATGTAGAGCTGAACTCTAAACTTGGGCCCTGAGCCCAAGAGCAAACAAAGTCTGCAGAGCCTATTACTGTCTCATGGGGAGAGAAGCAGCAGCAGTTTTGGGGCCTTGCATGCACTGAGGCAGGAACACGCAGGCGCGGGATGTTGCATTTTTTAGGTGCACATATTTGCAAAATATTGCAAAAAAAAATTCTTGTATTTTCTGCACAGGTGGGCATTGCGCGCGCCGTCCACAGCCCGGAGAACCGGGCGTTTCTGCAGCAAGTGGTGAACTCGTATCCCTCGGGATCATTCAAGGCTGATGACATTCTGGCATTCGAGAGAGGCACGAACATGCTGCGGCCTGAGCTGCTGCAGGAGGACTCTGCGTTGAGGGAGAAGCACACGACGAAGCTGTAGACGAGCAACAGCAGCGGCCGCGCGGGCCCAACGCAGAAACTCTTAATGTGGCAACTGCAGTCATTATGTACAAAGGATACGTAAATCTGTCCCAAGTGCACATGCAGGGGAGCCGCGCCCGGCCGTGGCAGTCTCAGGTTCGCGTCGCATCAATTTGAAGTGGCGAACCGGTGAAGCAGTGCAGGGCGTTGCCTGCGGCGGCGCGCTGTCGAGACACCGCGTGTCACGGGGTGTAACGGCAGCAGCTGCGTTCATGCTTGACAGGCACGAACACATTTCAATGGCAGTTGGAACTCAGCTAGCATGTACTTGTGCGCATTTCGCCAACTTCTGGCTTTTCCTTTGCCGGATTAATGGCCACTTCAGACCGCTTTGCATCGCGGCAGCGTGCGTCTCGCGGCTGTAGTTACACCGGAGGGCAGCCGCTGCTCACGGGAATGAAAAACCCCATTTAAGCGGTTGTTTCGAATGTTCATAATTACAGCAAATGCAGAAAGCTAAAGTCTTTGCTTTAATATGCAGTAGCTGACTTTGCGTTTTTTCTGAGTTAGACATCCTTGCAAGTTGCAGCAACGGAGAGCCCTTTGTGGGTAACTTAGGCACTATATAAGGGCCCGGCGCAGAGTGCCCCTGCAGCCAGAAAAGAGTTGTTTGCAAATTTGTAAATGGAAATAAGAGTGAAGATGAAAAGAAAACAACCAACCTTCGGGACACCAGTTTGCCAAGTCTTCCGGCAGTTCAAATATGACGGAAACGTCTTTCCCGAGCTCCGTGGTGGCGGCCTGCATGCAAATTGTCAGAAAGGAAAACAGAAAATTTCACTGAGACAAATACCTTGAGCTTTTGCGACAGCTGAGGGACTTGAACCTGCGGGACCCTGCGTGGCTGCTGCATGCAGGCACTTCAAAAAGGCATACAAAAGCCCCGCACCAGTTCACGTCTCCTGCGGTGGAGGCCGCGGAAAGATGAAATTCAATAATGGGGACTTTTGCAAAAAAGACAAACCAACGAAAGTGCCGCGGAACTTGGCCTGCCCGCCTCCAGCCAGGAGGCCTGCTGCGCCTTGGGCTGAAGCCAGCATTCAGAATTTGCAAAACTTTATTTGCATTGTTTTGTTTCGGACAGTCTTCATATCCCTTTGGCCGCGCCTCCTCCATGTCTTCCTGCTGCCTCGTGTACTTGACGGGTTCCTGCCCCTCGGCGCCTGCGGGTTGCGGTGTACGTACACCGCAGCTCCTGTACATTGCATGCAGCTCGCCCACCGACAGTCACGCTGACGTCGCCCAGTTGTTCCTGCACATTAACAGTGTACTCTTTGCCAGCTGCGGGGGACCTTGGCTCAAGTTTGGTTCAACAAGGACTTCGTTTTTGCCTCACCTTGGACTCGCAAAGCTCCAATGGACCCCAGATTTATTCTTTCTCCGTTCTTCACGCGCACCAGACTTACGCCGTCTCCGAGGCTCAGCAGAACTGCCCAGAAGTTTCTTTCCCCGACTCCTCGAAAGAGCAGCCCGGCCTCTTTGGCTCCGTTGAGAGAAATGGAACTTTGGATTTGAGTGCCTTGGCAAAAGAAGTCGCGTTTCATCAGCGCAAAGCGCGAGGAAACCCGCCGCGGCAGAAACAAGTTGAACGGGAATGCATGCGGGGGCTCCCGGGCCTCCTGCGAGCTCGCGTAAATAATTGTTTGGTTCGGAACGTCGTAAGACCAGCCAGACGCCGGCAGCCAGTCAGCAGCAAGCTGCGGGGGGCCCAGCCGGGGGTCCATCATCCACCGCGGGCAGCCGCCTTTCTTGAACAGTCTTTTGTACTCGGGCGGCTCTTGAGCGGGGAAGAACACGTTGGTCACAAACGTCATTAAATCTATTTTGCTCTTCGTCTGCACGAAGCGAAAGTTGCTGTGAGACGAATCCGGGTGAAGAAGAAACATCCGCGGATTCCGTCGGAGAGCCAGCGAGCGGCGAGTTGAGTAACCAAGTACACCTGAGTGTACAGCTACCAGAAAGGAAATGGCCAAAAAGGGCCACATGAGTTGAGATCTCATTACCGATTTGGAAAAGGACAAACACGAACGCCCACTGCCTTAAGTTGAACTAAAACGGCGTTTGCAATTGCGCACAGATCGGGGTGTACGTACACCTCAGTTTAGATATGAATTGGCTTTTCGGCCACACAAGAATGCACCATTTAACTGGATTTCGCGAAACTTTATATTGAATTCTTTTCCGTCAAATCTGTAGGACTTTTTTCTTCCATTAGTTGCTTTATTGAAGCAATCGCTCTACACAACACGCTCCTCCTGCGCGCCCGAAAACGGATGGCCATTTCCATCCCATGGGTCAACTGCTTTATTTCGTCCAGACCAAACTTGCCCCCCCGCTTTATGATTTGTTTATCGCGCAGGATTTTCAAGTCCTCCTCTTCTGTTGTGCTGAACTGTTCAAATACAGCATGCTGTAGGAAGGAAACCACAAAGCCCATCGCTCTCTGAAGACAAACCGAACAACAAAGCGCGCAGTTCATGCAATCTTCATCTTTGTATTCTCGCAGCAGCCTACAAAATACTCGCAACAAAGTAAAATCAAGTAGTAAAGTGTGTGAAGTTAATTAGACTTCGCCGACCTTAGAAGCGCATGCCGGCCCGCTGGAGCCGATGCTCTTTCCCTCTGCTGAGTCCTCAAAAATTGCGTTCTCCGTAATTACCTGCATACATAGAGCTAGCGGATACATTTACCAGTACAAATTTAAAGAAATACACATGTAATTACTACAGTATGTTTAGCACGTCTATATATATATATATTATATATGTATACATATATATATTATACATATATATATTATATATATACATATTATACATATATATATATATGCAGCAAATGAGTTGAAACAGACCTTCGCTGCCCTTAGAAGGCGTTCGTCAGGCCCCAAGTCTTCTTTAACTGTAACGAAAGGGCTGTACTTGACTTGGGGGGCCCCGCAAGTCTTTACATCTGTAGACCTCGGGAGTGCCAGTCCCATCTTAGTTAATTCCTTGACTGCAATTCGCCCCAAAAAGCTGAAGTCATTCATCAGCAGCAGCACCTCCGCGCCTACGGCGCGCAGCGCGGAGTAAACGCGCTGAGGGGTGAATTCTATTGAGACCTTCTCGTGGCTGAGATGCACACAACAGAAATACAGATGTCTTCGTGCATGCATGCATGCATGCATGCACGAAGACATCTGTATGCATGCATGCATGCGTGCATGGATGCATGCATGCATGCGTGGCGTATATGTGCAAACGCATGTTAACATGAGTCAAATGCATTCATGGATTTGCAGGCTCTTGCGTGCTGGTATGTGCCTGCGAGTTCTTTTGCTCATACTGAATTACAAAATGTTGTGCACTGAAATGCAAAAAGTGACGCATGCATGCAAAAAGACAGGCCATTTATGCAGCTAGAAAAACCTACAAATGTACTTGTGAGTTCTCAAGGACTAGAACTGTTGTCGAGCCCGACTTTAGCTGAAGTAGTTGCTGCTGCTGCCAGGTTTCTGCATGCATTCTGAACTAGTTGCTGCTGCTGCCAAACTTCTGCATGCATTCTGAACTAGCTGCTGCTGCTGCCAGACTTCTGCATGCATTCTCACGGGTTCTCCGCAGGAAGCAGTCCGTAGTTAAGGAGCAGAGTGGGGTTGTCGAAACTCCCAAAGGAAACTTTTATCTCCTCTCCAGGAGCAATGTCACGGGCGGCCACCAGCTCTACAGACAGGCCACTTGCGCCAAGGAGGGCTCCCGGGGGGGCCCCCGAGGGGGCCCCCGTAGAATCCCCCGGGGGGGCCCCCGAGGGGGCCCCCGTGGAATCCGCCGGCGGGGCCCCCGAGGGGGCCCCTGTGGAATCCGCCGTGGGGGCCCCCTCGGGGGCCCCCGTGGGAGCTCCCGTGGGTGCCCGCGACGGATCCCCTGAGAAGGCCCCCAGGGGGGCCCCCGGGGGGGCCCCCGGGGGGCCCCCCGCAGCTGCATGCGCCTCCGCGGGGCCCGCGGAGCAGCCGGTGGGCGCCGCAAATCTGAGGGCGGAGTTGGCGTTTTGGGCGTCGTGGCTGCAGAAGTCGACGAGAGGCACAAAGGCGAAGTCCCCAGAAGGGAACTTGAGAGAGCGAGCGCCCACAGTTGCAAAGGCCTCGAGGAGCTGCTGAAAGAGCTGCGAATCTTGCGGGAGAGCCGCGGGTTTGAGGGCCTGGAGGCAGCGCCGCAGCGCGGGGCCCCACAGGGCGAACGTGCACGATAATCCGTGCAGACGGGCTATGGCGGCCTGGCCTATGGGGTGCTCCAAAGCCCGCAGCTCCTCAGCAGTCCAGAACAGAGGAATGGACTTGCACGGGGGAGGCAGCAGGCGCAGGTAGAGGCCCCAGCCGGAGAGCAGGGGAGGCTGTGTAGGGCTCTTCGCGCTGAGAGAGGCCTGAGAAGCCTCAGGCATGAGGCCAGCCTTCTGCAGCTCTTGAAACAGAGCCAGCAGCTGCGCCAGACGCAGCTTCGCAGCTGAAGTTTCCCCAAGACCCAGCGGCTTCTCTGCAGCCCCGCCTGCCGCTGCGGGAAGCTCTCCTAGGAGAAATCCAGCGACGGCCTCGAGGGCGCCGCAGCTGAAGTGCAGCTGCGGCGGGACCCTGGCGATCAGCTCATTGCGTCTGTAGCGGCGAAGGCAAAACAGCCGCTGCCTCCCAGCGCCGCTGGCCGCGCAGGCGAGGCTGTCGGGCTCTGCTTCGAAATCGGACTTCAAGGCCAGCCCTTGGACATCCAGAGTCCCGCCGTTCGCAGCCAGCCACTCTTTGAGCTGCAGAAACGCAGCGTTTGCTTCGCCATCTGCTGGCTGGCTTCTCGTGCTCGCGGCGCTAGCCGGAGGTGGAGTCGGGCGGCGGCGCACTCTGTTATGGCTCAAAGAAGTAGAATGCAAATGTTCTTTCTGAAAAGAAGGCCAAAATGTGGGGCTTGGCGCCGTTTTGAAGCTGTTTGAGCCGTGAGGATTCGACAACAGCCAGCAGAGAGTATACACGCTCACAAGACGCATGTCAACCCAATTAAGTCATTCCTATGCTGTGAAAAAACCCTCGGCCGCAGGGTACAGTCTCATTGGAGAAACTGTGTAACTTGTTTCAACAGCTTTCAAGAAGAGGCAGCGCAGTGACAACCAGTACACATTGAAGTCTTCAGACTGCGTCGGCAACCCGTGCGGGAAAAGTTACTTTGAGCCGCTGTGGATTAACTCAAAACTATAAACGTACACTAAGAATTTAAGCGCATTTTACCTAAGACATTTAGAAGCAAGGAAACGCTGCTGTGCGCAATTGTGCATGCATCGTGGGGCCGGTGGTACTTGAATCGACATCGGCTCTTCAACTGTGCCTTTTCTTTTGTTGCTGTATTGGCCAGATACAGGTCATTTGTAAGCGAAAGGCACTAGGTATTGTTGCTGTGTTGTTGCAGTTTGATTTTTTCGCCTGGACATAGAGGACTTCATTTTCTTGTATCGAAAATGGCTTCCCTAGAGGAAACAGCGAAGGTGTTTCAGAATAAATTCGAGACTATGATAAAGGAAATTACTATACTCTCCTTGCCTATGCAGAAGAAATCGTTCCAGTGCTGCGTTTCGTGCTTCGATTCGCACAAGCAAGATCCTGAGAAGATAGCTGAATGCATCAACCAGTGCCACGAGCCCAGCCAGTCCTTTAACAGAGTCCTACAGCGAGAAGTCGAAGGCCTCCAAACCAACATAGAAAGCTGCCAGAAAGTAGGATTCATTGTGTCGGCGTGTTTTCCTTAGCCACAGGCGCGAGCGATAAACCAATGAGAGGCAACAAACCTAGAGCCAGAGAAGCCAGATTCGACGAACCATGAGGTCGATGGTCAAGACTTGAGCAGCTACGTCTGAAGGCACAAGTCGCAAGGTAATTCGCGTATATGCATGAAAGTGTAAGAGGTGCTGCGCTCTGTTCCGCTGTTTTGTTTTCCAGATTTGCTTCAACCGCCTGGCCCCCAAGCTTGAGGGAGCTTCGTCTCAAACGGAAAAGACAGCCATCGAACGGGAAAAAGACGAGTGCTTTGTGCAGTGCTTTACAAGCAACATCCCAATCATTGCGGAGATCAGAGACCGCCTGAAACGGCGAATCTAGTGATCGAGCTATCCACGGTATAACGGGGGAGAACAAGGCTAACTACGGCTTTTTGGACAGCACCATTCCACGTATATGAAGGACGCAATTGTTGGTTTCGGTTCTTTGAAGCCGCGATGTGACTGCGGTGCAACACTACAGCCGTTCCCGGGCCTTCCTCTTTCAGGCAACGTGCCTTCGGCGCCAACCTGGAAGTTGCCATGTCATTTTTTTCAACTTTTTGCCTCCTGTGATGCCCAGGAGCTAGTTAATACGTTTTCTCGTAGATAGGCATGCTCTGCAGATCTGCATGTGCGGGGGAATAAATGTACAAGCTCAAAGACTAATTTTTCTCTTCATCGCAGTACTGAAGCCCTGCAGTGGCTCAACGCTCATGGATATTTGTGTAGTTTCCGTACGCGCTCCAGTTTTGCATCACTTAAGTTTTAAATACCTGCGGCTCGAAGGAGGAAGCCACACCATCTCAGGACAGTTTGTAATTGCCCACCACTAGCGGCACACTACTACTCGTCCTGCTGCACTTGAACTGCACTTGAAGTGTGTCAAGCGCAGAGGTTCTGACCAGCTTTCAAAATAGGGACGGGCTCCTCCTTCAGTGCGCTGTCGCCTAACTCCTGCACCTCGCCTATCTGCGCCTGAGCAAACAGCGAAACCGCTCCCTAACTCCACGGCGCAGCACTTGTCACTTAGCTCTGGTTGCTGGGCATGACGTGAACCAGAAAATCGAATGGGAAAGTGACAACCGTCCGATGGCCGCTTGCAGGCCATCCTGAATTAGGTAGCAGTGCTGCTCCAGCGCTCCCTGTTCCCCTGAAACGTCGTTGTGTGCTGCTGCGCCTACTGACTTGGCCGAGCCGCCTGTTGTTCTCACTGGTCCCTCTTGCTGCCTCATCTGGCACAAGCTGGACTTGAGCCTTCACTGTGTTCATGTTATAAATTCCAGGACACGGAAACAGGGCTGTAAACTCTGCACGGGCGCTTTCCCCAGGTGGCAGAAGTCCTAGGTCTTGCGTTACCTTCCCCAGCCAAATGCAGCACCCGTCTGGCGTAGCGATTGGCGAAACTCCACTTGCATTTGCAGAAGCCGAGCTTACCGCATCAGGTGAGGTCGGTTGCTTCGGCTTGTGAAAGGGAAATGCGTGAGATGCGAAGGGGGGTACTGCTGACTGCTGCGAGTGTTCACGGGGAATGGCGTCCGTGTATTCCTGTCTCTTCTGCGAGTCTGTAGCAGCACACGCACCTGTTCCTTCAGGCTCAGAAGCTGGTTCACCTGACCCTTGTGCTAGCTGCTCTGGCCTTCCTGTACCGCAAGAGCCCGCTAGGGGCTGCATGTCGATAGGGGTGGCGTCCACACCACCGTTGGAAACTGCAGACTTCAGTTCTATTGAATTTCCGTGGTGATTATATTCGACTATGTGCTCCTCAAGACGCGTCGCCACACCGTCGTTGTAGCTCAAGTCCGAGAGCAACACTTCCTGTGGCAGCGTGATCTCCTCCCTATCATCTTGCACCACTGCCCGTGGACTGCACAGAGGCCGGAGGTAAGTAAGAGGCAAAGTCATAGGATATGGGCCTTCGTTGGACTCTGCTGGCCCCCATCGGTCTGCGTGTGTTACTTCTCCAACTTCAGTAAGGCTGGAGCACAGTTTAAGCGCATCTGCCGCTGCTTGTGACCTTTGCGTCGTCTGTTGCTTTGACGTCAGCGGCCCCGGGCGGGAGTCCGCGAAAAGCCGCAACCTCAGGTACAAGGAGTTCGAAGTGTTTCGAACGTTAAACGACATTGTACAAATGCATGGTTCGTGCATCTTCCACTGCAGAAACTGCCTAGATGACGACAGGGACGGAGCGACACTTAATTCAATGGGAATATCTTGCGGTCCCATAGAGAGCGAGATCTGCACAAATAAATGACACAAACAAAAACCCCGAAAAAGCAGCTTATAAATCAAGAATCATGGGGAAGCCAGCTACAGCAGGAAACTGTTTTGAGTCCATAAGAAATGACACTATAATTAAAACGATCCAACTACAGGCCTGCGAGTGAACGTAGGCATTTGGGTTTTCGCTTATAACACAATGGTTCTTTTTGCTCTACTACGTATATGTGTCTGCATGAAGGAAATACGACGCAGTGCGTTCCCCAATCCATCATACTACGTGGTTCAGGCGGAAAACGCAACCTAGAACTTAACCCCAAATCAAGGCAGACAACAAAATGCTTCTTCTGCAGACTGCTTGCATGTACTCACTTCAAACCAAGAGTACTGTTTAAATTAGTCATACATTCACATGTGTTTATAGACACAGGGAAGCATTAAGAAGCAATGTACGCATCTGCGCACATTCCTATGCTTACACAGACGCGCACACACAAACACACACCGGCACACGCAAGCACGAACACAGGCAAGGACACAGGAACACACATGCACATACACGCACGTACATATATACAAATATATATACACGCAAAGTAGAAGGCGCAGACGTCGACAAGGAGTAGGCGAAAATTGTATTTTCTGCTGGCCGATAACACGGACTCCTCATGTTCCTTGGTTCCATGAATGCAAGAAAGCTTACTGGATTAGCGGCTAGAATCGTCCCCTCTCGCCTCATTTTTCCCTCCATGTCTTTACCGAAAAACAAAGAAGGGGAACTATCGACGGGGTGTTCGGCTTCGCTGCCTGACACTGCCCAACGCAAAGCCACTCGAATGCGACTCCTGCAAAAAAACACAAACGGGTTCCATCGAAGCTTATACGCCCCGTGTCTTTTGTGTATGCACATGTTTAACAGTTTTTTCGGCAACGAAAAAAGCTCTTGAAAGACCAGCATTTCAAGTCCACACAAAATCTCACACCGTTTTATACAGCAGAGTGGCAAAAGCGCAAGCAAATACAAAGAGAGCAGCATGTGCAAAGGTCACTAATCAAAAACATCTATTAGTAATGCTCGAACACTACGCATCTAGACACTGCAGCTCGAGCTCCTATTCATGGGTGAGAGCCATGCAGAAGCACTAGCTGTGCATACCCTCCAGCTTCCACGACGCGCTTTAGCTTGTCTGGTTCTTGAGCGGAAAACACAAGCAAGAGCTCATCATTTGGATCCAAAACATTTGGAGTTGCGCTTGGAGTGTCTGCGCAGTTAGCCTTTGCGGCAAGCTCTCTGTATGGTACTAGTGGGAGAATCGTAGGGGACGACGCCTCTCCTCGACCACCACGCAAAGCGTCACAAGTTACCTGAATGAGTGGGGGATCCAACTCTCCATCTCCAAGCTCTTGCTTACCTTCCCTCCCTCTCTGCGTACAGGAGAGCCAAAGGGCGCCCAAGCCACACACTTGCAGGCAGCGGGAAGAGACATTCCGTACGCGACACAAGAAGAGAAAGTTCTTGGGGTCTCGCCAAGACAGCCGCTGCACAGCCATACGAAAAGACGAAAGTGAAAGCAAGTCAAAGTGCCGTCCCAAATAGCGATTGTGCACAAAATTGATAAAGCAGGATCCGATTAGCATGGAAAGCCCCCCAAGCTCACATGGCAGCAGCTATAGTTTCGGAACTGCACGTGTTGTAGCACCTGCACTACGAAGTTACGGAAGAAGGGGCAAAGCATTGAAAAACTAGCCGAAACACCAGGCTGGCAGTGCAGCTTGCCACTCACCGGCTGTACATGCAGCTCAAGAGATGGAGCAACTGCAAGAAGCGCCTCCACGACTCGCCAGACGGAATGATCAGGGCTCATACCAGTCTTCTGCTGCTCTTGCTGCTGCCGCAGCAGTTGGCCCCTTATGCAGAAGCGGACACGATGCAGACCGGGATATGCCGCTCGCACATACAGCCGCAAACAAGCCACCATTCTGGAGGGCAGGACCCTGCAAGGCTCGTTGCAGCAAGGGAG